AATATAAAATACCTGGCACTTTGTCGTTCTCAGTATTACAACTGGTGAACACAAAAAATAATAAAATACCTGACTCTTTGTCGTTCACAGTATTAATACCTGGCACTTTATCGTTCACAGTATTAATACCTGGCACTTTGTCGTTCACAGTATTAATACAGGAGAACAAAAAAAATTAAAAATACCTGACTCTTTGTCGTTCACAGTATTAATACCTGGCACTTTGTCGTTCACAGTATTAATACAGGAGAACAAAAAAAATTAAAAATACCTGACTCTTTGTCGTTCACAGAATTAATACCTGGCACTTTGTCGTTCACAGTATTAATACCTGGCACTTTGTCGTTCTCAGTATTACAACAGGAGAACACAAAATATACAAAATACCTGACTCTTTGTCGTTCTCAGTATTACAACTGGAGAACATAAGAAATGAAAAATACCTGACTCTTTGTCGTTCACAGTTTTACAACTGAAGAACACAAAATATACAAAATACCTGACTCTTTGTCGTTCTCAGTATTACAACTGGAGTACACAAAAAATGAAAATTACCTGACTCTTCGTCGTTCACAGTATTGCAACAGGAAAATCCTCAATATATAAAAAATACCTGGCACTTTGTCGTTCACAGGATTACAACAGGAGAATCCTCAATATATGTAAAAAAAAATCTGGCACTTTGTCGATCACAGTATTACAACAGGAGAATCCTCAATATATAAAAAAAAAATACCTGGCGCTTTGTCGTTCACAGTATTAATACCTGGCACTTTGTCGTTCACAGTATAAATACCTGGCACTTTGTCGTTCACAGTATTAATACCTGGCACTTTGTCGTTCACAGTATTAATACCTGGCACTTTGTCATTCACAGTAACAACAGGAGAACACAAAATATAAAATACAGGAGAATCCTCAATATATAAAAATACCTGGCACTTTGTCGTTCACAGTATTACAACAGGAGAATCCTCAATATATAAAAAAATACCTAGCACTTTATCTTTCACAGTATTAATACCTGGCACTTTGTCGTTCACAGTATTAATACCTGGCACTTTATCGTTCACAGTATTAATACCTGGCACTTTATCGTTCACAGTATCAATACCTGGCACTTTGTCGTTCACAGTATTGCAGCAGGAGAATCATCAATATATAAAAATACCTGGCACTTTATCTTTCACAGTATTAATACCTGGCACTTTGTCGTTCACAGTATTAATACCTGGCACTTTGTTGTTCACAGTATTACAGCAGGAGAATCCTCAATATATAGAAATATCTGGCACTTTATCTTTCACAGTATTAATACCTGGCACTTTGTCGTTCACAGTATTAATACCTGGCACTTTATCGTTCACAGTATTAATACCTGGCACTTTGTCGTTCACAGTATTACAGCAGGAGAATCCTCAATATATAAAAATACACGGCACTTTATCTTTCACAGTATTAGTACCTGGCACTTTGTCGTTCACAGTATTAATACCTGGCACTTTGTCGTCCCCCTTCAATCAATTTTGCAAATGTATATATAACCTTTATATTGCACCTTTATATTGCTTAAGGTAAAAACGGTCGAAAGGAAACATCAAATATGTATCCGCATTTCATTCTTTCTCGGGAACAATGTAACTTGCCACAAACAATTGGAAGGTGACAGGACAAAATGACGATCATTAGCGTTCTTCGGTCCATTGCCCTCTCAGTGTTAGAGGTATTCCAATCCGTTGCTCTCGCCTTGTGGGAAGCAAACGTACTTTTAAAGCGTTTCTCGGCCAATGTGCAAACTCTCAATAAATTAACGCAAAGGAAATTCAATCACTTACGCATTGAATCGTTTTCAGTGGACATCGTCAAGATAATGACAACAACTAGACACAATAAATCTCTTAAAGCGCTTGCTCATACTTCAGTGAAACTGTAAATGTCTAGTTTTAATTTATATTGACTGTGAAGGGCAATGAAAGTAATTAAATGTTTAAAGGTAACTTATACTACTAATAACGGAAACAGTTCTACAATGATTTATACAGTTTAAAACGTTTCGTGAGTAAGGTTGCCTTCAATAATTATATAAGTTTACAGTCTAAACGACTTCGAAAAGGAACCAGGGATTCCTTAAAACAGGTTGTATTGAAATGTTAAGTCTTCCTTTGACTTAATACCGGACAAGTTAATTATACAGTGAGCGAATGTGCTATGATTGAATGTATTATTTTGCTATCTCGACGAAAACGTTGCTTGTGTTTCTGTAGTTGTACGGATATTTTAATCACTGGACGAGTGCTAGTCGGTAGTAATACTACAGTGAGAACGTGTTGGACTCTTTCGAGGTTTAAACAGGATGTCGGGGAGGGGGGCGATAGTGGTGTCTCGGTATCAGAACAGATTATCTAGACATGCGAGGGTACCCGCATTTATTTGGACTGTCGACGTCTCGTAATAATAACGAAAGGATTCAATAATCTCCGCGATCAGGTAATTTGCACGTGTGCTGGGCTTCTTGTCTAGATGTGTTTGGGTAGGGGCCGTTTTGGCCAGTGAAATTAGCAGAGACTATTTTATTTGTATTCGGGGCGGATTCCAGACAGAACATGTCAATGGATTTCGCCATGATTTTAAATCTTCGACGTGCACAATGAAGTCAAAGCCCTTTTTATTTAAGTAAGACAGAGGCAATTCCCTGAACGTCTGTGTTTGTCTGTCTAAGCCGACAGTTGTCGAGGATACCCGAACGTTTGTGTAGATACTATTTACATGTACACGTACCAATGATTCTCGTACGTCGGTATAGATACGACAGTTGTCGAGGATACCCGAATATTCTTGTACTTCGGTAAAATACGACAGTTGTCAAGGATACCCGAACGTTTGTTAAGAAGCGACTTACCAAGGATTTTCGTACATCGGTATGTATACGACAATTATCGAGGATACCCAATTACTAAGGATTCTTGTTTTTCGGTATAATACGACAGTTGTCGAGGATACCCGACGTGTGTATAGGTATGACCGTTTTCAGTGGTACCCGATGGTTTACGTAGATACGAGGTACCGAGGATTCTCGATCGTCGGTTTAGCTATGACAATTATCGTGAGTAACCGAAAATCTATTTTGTAAGATGGCGAGGACAATAATAATTTAAAAGATAAACGAATGTCTATGTGTATTCGACAGTTATCAAGGATACACCAACATTTGAGTTGATAAAATATTACGAGTTCAGCAAGAAAATAGATTCTGCAGCATGTGCGTTTAATAGGAATAGATTGTAGTGAAACTTTCTGTATATATTTGTATAGTTTGTAAAACGTTTCCCAGTGTAAGCACGAATACCAGCGAAGTACACGCGAATTCCATGTGGTATTCTATCTACATTTATATATTTGTGTGTAACTCTTCCGAGAATACAGAAACCGTCCTTGAGAACATTTGTACATCCTGTAGGACGATAAATTATTGTTTTATTATATTTGTATCCAAGTCATATCAGAATTAATGGAAATGAGGAAGTACATAACGTGCACCGGAACTCATCTAACAGCTTTACTCTAGCAACATTCAGCCAAATGTACAACACAAATGATCTGGAGAAATGAACTATAAGTTGTTTGCTATTCAACTTATATTTTAGAGTCAGTATAAATGCGACCAGTAGAGCAGACTGAAGGGAGGAAGTTGTTATCTTGAGCCTGCGCACAGATCAAACATACATTTTACATTTTATCAACCATTTACAGTAAAACATTTTATGATTGGATGTGCTGATTAAAACAAAACTATAAGAAATTTTATTATTTGCTATGGACAATTTCTACGTGATCGGCATAAGATTATCTACATTCCATTGATCTTTACCGTAAGAAAAGATCTATCATACAACAGACTCGTTTGCTACTAATGCTTTTTGCATGTTAACCTTTATTTAGTTAAAGTTTTGCATTTTCCTTTTTGAATGCGTCTTAAAAAGTGTTGTTTGGCAAACTACTATGGCCTAACTTATCTATGAGCCTTAATCACTAGAAGTCAAAAATGAAACTATTATTATTGAATGTTTATCATGCCGCCCTTCGTTCTCACATAAAGTTAAGATCAATCTTGTTTACATGTTATTGTGGTATCGTGTAGAAGTAGTATATCCCTATCTTCTGACTGTACGGGCTGTATTACACACGTTTCCCGAGAGTAACCAGTCAGCCACTGACTGAAAAAATACCAGTTAAATCCAAAAACTACAAAACGATCTGATAGTGAATGTCTGCTGTATCTTGTCGGTAGCATTGCCGTCTTATAAGCAAAAACGTGTAAAATGCTGTTCAAATTATCTCAAATTCTTTCTTTCGTCAGATAAATGCAACATCCAACCTTCGTGTAGGATTTCTAATAGTTGTTGCTTGGCTGATGAAGCTGGGGCGATACCTCTACAATACACATTGCTGTCAGGTGATCATTACTATTGATGCCAATTCATCTTCAATGTTTTCATAATGATAAGTATTGGGAGACGGGATCGACCGCGGCTCAACGGGCGGTCAGGTCGGGCAATGGTTTACTTACTCTGAGTCTCCAGGGGTACAAACACTTATCTTAGTGTATATGTGACCTCTGCCGTGTTAATAGTGTGAAAACGTGTACGGGCAGACCCGAGGAAATATGTCGGTAATAGGCCGACGTACTTTATGTACACCAGGTAGGCGTCAGTCTCTCACAAGTTCGTTTAATCTTGCTTGGTCTTCTGACATAACATGTAAGACTTTCTTGTAAATTTTGTAACATGCACGCAAATTGGAATTTTTGATATACAATTTATTATTGGTGGGTCTCATTAAGTTAGAACAGTGATCGTGGATGTTCAAGTATGCATTCGAGCAGCTTTTGATGAATATAGTTAATTGGTGATTATAGATGAAATATTCAAAAGATCAGGAAACGTGATGTTTATTTATTTTTTTATTACTTATTTCCGTTTTTCTTTTTTTCTTTTTTGCAGGTTAATTGAAAAAGGTGACGGGTGTATGGTGATGCCGGCTAAAGTACACAATGCCTGAATTTGGTCCTTTCCGTCGGATGATAAGGCGGGTATGATCTATTGAGACGCTCGGATCGGCTGGTAGAGAGAAGATAAGTGATTGGGTGGCTTTTGTTAAGATGACAGTGAAGTGTGCACGAGCCACCGAAACTTAATACAGTGATTTCATACACACTACAAACAGGATTCTAACGTACGGCTACAAACAAACGGTGATTTCGTACGCGCTACAAAAAACCCCAGTGATTTCGTACGCGCTACAAACAGGGATTCACAACGCTCCAATTAAGGCAAGCTTTCTGTACTGCATACAAACAGTGTTTCTGTGCGCGCTACATACAAACAGTGTTTCTGTGCGCGCTACATATAAACAGTGTTTCTGTGCGCGCTACATACAAACCTTGATTCCTTACGCACCAAAAAGAAACAGTGATTCCGTACGCGCTTCAAACAAACAGTGATATATAAACTATAGTGATTTTGTGAACGCTTATTAAAACCGCAGAAAACATGAATAACAGTGAAAATATTACAACGATGTCGAGTACTGACGCCATGTCGACTGGCCATTGGAATATTAGCAATAGTTCGGTCGGGTTGACAACCGACGTGTATTCAGACTCGCTCTGTCTGAGTCTGAATGCCTCCAACTCGTCGCCCAGAAGCGCCCTAGAGGCGTTCAGTGTGCACTACGCCCAGGTACATGGCTATGTCAGTGTGTGTGTGTGCCTTTTTGGAATGCTGGCTAATACGGCTAATATCGTCGTACTTACTCGCAAGAAAATGATAACATCTACGAATTATATTCTTACATGGCTAGCCGTGGCTGATCTGTTTACGATGCTGGATTACTTCCCCTTTGCCATCCATTTCTACATCCTAAAGGACCCCATGCTCCCCTTTCCGATGACGAAAGGCTACGGATGGGTGTGTTTTCTTATGTTCCACGCGAGTTTCAGTATCGTATGCCACACAATTGCTATATGGTTGACCATAGAATTGGCTATATTCCGGTTTATATTCATTTGGTTCCCAACGAAGGGAGCTTTGTACTGCAGCCAGGAGAAAGCTAAGCGGGCCGTGTTGGGAGTGATCTTGTATACAATTATTATTTGTATACCCAACTATATGTCTAACGAGATCACCACTTATAACTGCCGAGTGTATCGGGAGCCTGTGTATTCGCTGGAGGTGAGGAAACACGGGGCCTTTGCGGTGATAAATTCGGTGAATTACTGGACCCAGGCCCTGTTAATCAAGCTTGTGCCCTGTATCATGCTTACGTTGCTGACGTTGCTGCTGATTACCGCCATGCACCGTGCGTACAAACGGCGAGCTGCCCTCAAGCACCAGGGTAAGAAAGACGATACGGATAAACACCATGAGCACAACCGAACAACTCTCATGCTCCTCGCCGTCGTCGTCCTCTTTCTCATTACTGAGTTACCACAAGGCATTCTTACCATACTGAGTAGTTCCATCGACGGCTTCTTCGAGTCCGTCTATATGCCGCTAGGGGATCTTGTCGATATTGTTGCACTTTGTAATAATGCTATCAATTTCGTCCTTTATTGTGGTATGAGTACTCAATTCCGAAAAACATTTTTTGAAATTTTCTGTAGCTGTATTCCCGAGAGGAGGCCGGGGTGGAGAAAACTTGGTGTTGTACGGGCCGAGAAAAACGGGTGTACACCGACCACGACAAACACGTCACTGTCAACGACAACAACTAAACTGTGACGTCACTAACATTTCACTGTCAACGACCACAACCAAACTGTGACATAAGTTGTTCACGGGAACATTTTGGCTGACACTTTCACGACAAGGAAACGTTTACCTTCTTAATATGCTTCTCAAACGACACCTTTGGATATTGCCATTTCATAGTAGTTAATGTAGGGTTCGTCAATTTGAGTGCAATACACTGTGGTATATGGTTTGCATGCTAGCTTTTGATATACTAATTTGGTGAGTTTTATTTGGACTATAGGTAGATAGGTCTACCACATATGTTGATTGTATTGGATTGAGTTGTAACGTAAAAGCAATATGATCTGTGTATGTATGTTACCGTCCTGATTTTTCGATATATCTATCTATCATCCCATTCCGGATTATCTTACATCTTACAGTAACGATACTGGTAATTTCAAACAACGCAACTCATAAAACATGTTATCATATTTCTATATCATTCTCATTTTTTTCAACAGATCTAATTCAATTTAAATTTAGATGGATAGAAAAACGCGATTTTTTTTTTTAATTTTAAGACCTTGACTTATCAAGCTACATCATATGTCCTTAAATACATGTGTATGTATCTGTGTGGGTTTAACGGACTGGGGAGTCTATGGTCAAGTGCGATACTGGAATGGCTGACGGTTTGAAAAGTTTTGAATAATAAGTTACAATTGTAGATTTGAAAAAAATACTTCCAATCAATGTTTTTAAATTATAGTTTTATATAGGTGTAGAGCACGTGATCCTGGTGAGAAGGGATATATAAGGTATACGGTGTCGTTGGTGTACATCGTCCTATCACCAGATCACGTGTATACTGAAATCAAGTCTCGCACTGTGTGTCTATCGACGAGACATTGATTACGTGGCCTGTAATTAAATCTTTATTGTTGATACTCTGTATGTATTGTTTACACTTCGATTACCACTCTCTTTGATGAGAGGACGAACAGCTGTCGACCTCTGTCGACCGTATTGCACCACTACTTACAACACTTCTGTCTCCAGAACGTTAATAATCACTTTGTAGGAAATATTTTTTTCTATTGAATCTCTCTTGTTATAATTTTGAAATATTTACTTTCATCTATGTTTCATTACACATCCATTTGTCATTCAGAGTTAAAACAATAGTTTGATTCGTCTGACGATAATTGTTTTTCTTTTGATGGTATAATTGTAAAACAAAATACACATCCGGTTTAAAAGTCATTGGAATTTGTTTTCTTTAGTTGCTGTGTGAATATTCTCGCCATATCGAGGACTAATATAAGTCAGAGACTATTGGCTGTTACATGTACTAGGACAGCCACTGACAGAACAATGTGGCGATTGGTGCCATCGATACCAGATCATTTACCAGTAACTACGAGGCTGCGAACGCTCTATCCGTTACACATACCTGTTTGACTTTATCATGTTCTAACATACATGTAGCAGTACATTTTAATACGGAAACTGTTATCCCTAAAATAAAGATATCTCGATTATTTTTCGCTGATATGCAATAATTCTCGAGGCCTAATTTTCTTTGAATTATTAGCTTGAGAGGAATGAAGTTCTGCCAGGAACTCGTAAGCTGATATCTACTGACAATCAGTTAATTTGGCTCCATTTCATGTCCTATACTTCTTCCGCTCGGCTTATCAAGGAGAAAATTAATGTTAATCCGGGATAATTCTCTAATACATCCCCAAATGTTTCTTTATCATCAAATGGCTTGTGTATAACAGCATGACGAACCACAAACGGAGGAGTTGACTATCATCTCTTCTCATATTCAATATGGTAAAGGCCCATATTCACCAACCCGAAAAATATGCTCGGAGATTCTATAATCTACTAATGGCTGCCTTCTGAGAGGATATTCACAGTGTTACTTAGTAGTGTGTGGCATAATTTTAATTTCAGTAACAGTGGTATACGTTTGTCAGGTTTAACACAGATGACAAAGCTTGTGTAATAACGTATACTATAGTGTATGACGGATACTATAGTGTGTTACGTATACTATAGTGTATGACGGATACTATAGGGTATGACGGATACTATAGTGTATGACGAATACTATAGTGTATAACGAATACTATAGTTTATGACGGATACTATAGTGTATAACGGATATTATAGTGTATTACGGATACTATAGTGTATTACGGATATTATTGTGTATGACGAATATTATAGTGCATGACGAATACTATAGGGTATGACGTATACTATAGTGTATGACGGATAATTTAGTGTATTACGTATACTATAGTGTATGACGGATACTATAGTGTGTTACGTATACTATAGTGTATGACGGATACTATAGGGTATGACGGATACTATAGTGTATGACGATTACTATAGTGTATGACGTATACTATAGTGTATGACGGATAATATAGTGTATTACGTATACTATAGTGTATGACGTATACTATAGGGTATGACGAATACTATAGTGTATGACGTATACTATAGTGTATGACGGATAATTTAGTGTATTACGTATACTATAGTGTATGACGGATACTATAGTGTATAACGGATATTATAGTGTATTACGGATACTATAGTGTATTACGGATATTATTGTGTATGACGAAAACTATAGTGCATGACGAATACTACAGTGTATGACGGATACTTTAGTGTATTACGTATACTTTAGTGTATGACGTATACTACTGTGTATGACGTATACTACTGTGTATGACGGATACTATAGTGTATAACGTATACTATAGTGTATTACGTATACTATAGTGTATGACGGATACTATAGTGTATGACGAATATTATAGTGTATGACGTATACTACTGTGTATGACGTATACTACTGTGTATGACGGATACTTTAGTGTATGACGAATACTATAGTGTATGACGGATACTACTGTGTATGACGGATACTACTGTGTATGACGGATACTATAGTGTATGACGAATACTATATTGTATAACGGATACTATAGTGTATAACGGATACTATAGTGTATTACGTATACTACTGTGTATGACGTATACTACTGTGTATGACGGATACTATAGTGTATGACGAATACTATAGTGTATGACGTATACTATAGTGTATGACGGATACTACTGTGTATGACGTATACTATAGTGTATGACGAATACTATAGTGTGTTACGTATACTACTGTGTATGACGGATATTATAGTGTATGACGGATACTATAGTGTATGACGTATACTACTGTGTATGACGTATACTATAATGTATGACGTATACTACTGTGTATGCCGTATACTATAGTGTATGACGTATACTACTGTGTATAACGTATACTACTGTGTATCACGAATACTATAGTGTATGACGGATACTATAGTGTATGACGAATACTATAGTGTATGACGAATACTATAGTGTATAACGTATACTACTGTGTATGACGGATACTATAGTGTATAACGTATACTATAGTGTATTACGTATACTATAGTGTATTACGTATACTACTGTGTATGACGGATACTATAGTGTATTACGAATACTATAGTGTATAACGTATACTATAGTGTATGACAAATACTATAGTGTATGACGTATACTATAGTGTATGACGTATACTACTGTGTATGACGTATACTATAGTGTATGACGAATACTATAGTGTATAACGTATACTACTGTGTATGACGGATACTATAGTGTATAACGTATACTATAGTGTATTACGTATACTATAGTGTATTACGTATACTACTGTGTATGACGGATACTATAGTGTATTACGAATACTATAGTGTAT